TCGAAACAGTTTTGTTGAGCCGGTTGGCAGTGCAGCCACGCAAGTCCTGGCGATCTTAAATGAAGGCGAAGCCAGCAAGACGATTCTGTGCTCTTTTAATGTTCCGTTTAGTGATGTGCTCTGTTTTCGTGATAATTGGCTTTCCTTCGACAGTCAGACAGATTTAAGACGGATGAAATCTCAAAAATTTTCGTACCCTATGGTTTGTTCTGTACGCATTCAAATAAGCTCTGCTTTATTCTGCGATCACAGATGCTTCATGTAAACAAACTTCCCGCTAAGTGCTTTCGGGACTTTCTGTAACTGTAACTTTGAGGAAGTGGAAATTCAGGTAATCCCGCACTTGGCATTTTCACTTTTTCCCTCCCCATACGGTTCGTGTGACAACGTGCTTATCTGTGAGCATCGAATTGGTATCGTTTTGTTTTTCAATGCTGTAGATTTTGTTGCTGTTTAGAAAGGTATAATCACCTGAGAGCTGCTTAATGTACAGTTGTATTTGATTGGTGACAGCGTCACTACCACAGCTTTCTCTATAATAACGTACAATTTTATTTGAGAATAAATCGAACAGTCATTTCGTCGTTGCCCACCAGCATCTTAATAATTGGCCAACGCACAGGCTGCCCGTGAGAAGGTGCGTTTTTTGCATGGTTCCCCGCACTTTTTGTTGCTACCGGCACCGGTTTATTCGGCAAATGCTTGTGGTTAAACAAATTAAGACTGTCCACCAGAATTGTCAGAGAACATCCCTTTAAAACTTCAACTTTCTAGCTTCCATGGCACCTGAGTTAGCAACTTACCGGAACAAAATTTTCAAGGGCCCGTGCATGTTTACTAAGCATACCTAAGAGCTGGGTTCGAGCTGAATGAAACTTAGGTGGACGGGGTATATCCTTTTAAAATTGCATTCCTTTAGTTTCTCAGATCCCCGAGTTATGAACTTACCCGAAAAAAATTTCGGGGGGCTCGCACGCGGGTACCAGCTTACCCGGGGGCTGGATTTGAGCTCATTATCACCTGCTTGGACTGGGAACATTCCCCTAAAATTTCAGCTTTCTAGCATCTCAGAACTCGGAAGTTATGAACTTACCCGAAAGGAATTTTGGTGGGCTCGTACGAGGGTACCACGCTTACCCGGGGCTGGGTTTGAGCCTACTAACAGCCGCTTGGGCGGGGAACATTGCCCCAAGATTTCAGCCTTCTAGCTTCTCAGATCCTCGAGTTATGACCCGCTTGGGCGAGGAACATTACCCCAAGATTTCAGCCTTCTAGCTTCTCAGATCCTCGAGTTATGAGCTGGTCCCCCCAAGATTTCAGCCTTCTAGCTTTTCAGATCCTCGAGTTATGAACTGATCCCAAAAAAACTTTGGCGGGCCTGTACGCGGGTACCACGCGGGTTTTGGCGCCAATTTTGGGTCCCCAAGAAAACTTTGGCGGGTCCGTACGCGGGTACCACGCGGGTTTTGGCGCCCACTTTGAGGATTGAGGCCGGCCCGTGCATGTAGATCAAGTTCCCGAAATTTCAGCCCCGCAGCTTTTATAGGACCTGAGATGAAAGTGCGTGACAGACGCACACA